CCAGCATCGGCAGTTCTTACCATCTCCCAGCCTATTCGGCCTCTCCCGAAAGCTCAAACTCTCCAACCCTGGCAACATACTTCTAAATCTTTTCTGAATCCTTTCAAGTTTCACAACATCCTTCCTATAGAAAGGAGACCAGAATTGAACGCAGTATTCCAAAAGTTGTCTAACCAATGTCTTGTACAGGCACAACACAACCTCCTAACTCCCACACTCAATGCACTGACCAATAAAGGCAAGTGTACCAAACGCTTTCTTCACCAACCTACCTGTGACTCCACTTTCAAGGAACTATGAGCCCGCACCCTAAGGTCTCTTTGTTCAGCAACACTCCCCAGGACCTTACCATTAAGTATTTCCAAAATACAGCACCTCACATTTATCTAAATTAAACTCCAGTTGCCACTCCTCCGCCATTAGCCCATCCAGTCAAGGTCCCATTCTACTCTGAGACAACCTTCTTCACTGTCCACTACATCACCAATTTTGGTGTCATCTGCAAATTTACTAACCATTCCTGCTTTCCTCACATCCGAATCATTTATATGAACGAAAAAAAAGCGGTGGATCCAGCCCCGATCCTCATGGCATACCGCTGATCACAGGTCTCCAGTCCCAAAACACAACCCTCCACCATCATCCTCTGTCTCCTACCTTCAAGCTAATTTTGTATCCAAATGGCTAGCTCTCCCTAGTTAACATATGATCTAATCTTGCTAGCCAGTCTACCATGCAAAACCCTGTCAAATGCCTTACTGAAGTCCATGTAGACAACATCCACCGCTCTGCCTTCTTTGTCACTTTCTCAAAAAGCTCAATCAAGTTAGAGAGACATGACTTCCCATGCATAAAGCCATGCTGACTATCCCTAATCAGTCCTTGCCTTTCCAAATACATGTAAATCCTGTCTCTCAGGATTCCCTCCAACAACTTACCCACCACTGATGTCAGGCTCACTGATCTGTAGTTCCCTTGCTTTTCCTTATAGCCGTTCTTAAATAATGGCACCACATTAGCCACCCTCCAGTCTTCCGGCACCTCACCCGTGGCTAACGATCATACAAATATTTCAGCAAGTGGCCCAGCAAATCTTCCCTAGCTTCCCACAGAGTTCTGGGATACACCTGATCAGGTCCCGGGGATTTATCCACCTTTATGCGTTTTAAGATGTCCAGCACCTCCTCCTCTGTAATAGGGGCATTTTTAAAGATATCACTATTTATTTCTTCAAGTTCTTTAGCTTCAATATCCTTCTCCACAGCAAATACTGACATGAAAGACTAATTTAGTATCGCACCTATATCCCGCAGTTCCAAACATAGACAGCCTTGCTGATCTTTAAGGGGCTCTATTCTCTCTCTAGTTAATCTTTTTCCCTTATGTATTTATAGAATCTCTTTGGATTCTCCTTGACCCTATTTGCCTAAGATATCTTATGTCCCCTTTTTGCCCTCCTGATTATACTCACTCATACTGCCCTTATACTCTTCTAGGGATTCACTCAATCCCAACTGTCTATACCTGCCTTCTTTGTCTTGACCAGAGCCTCAATTTCACTAGTCATCCAGAATTCCCTACTCCTACCAGCCTTGCCCTTCACAATAATTAGAACATACTGCCTCTGGACTCTCATTATCTCATTTTTGAAGGCCTCGCACTTTCCAACCATCCCTTTACTTAGGAGTAGCCTCTCCCAATCAGCTTTTGAAAGTTCCTGTCTAATACTGTCAAAATTGGCCTTACTCCAATTTAGAATTTTAACTTTTAGGTCAGGTCCATCCTTTTCCATAACTATTTTAAAACTTACAGAATTTGGCCCCAAATATGCTCCCTCACTGACACCTCAATCACTTTCACTGCCTTATTTCCCAAGAAAACATCAAGTTTTGCTCCTTCTGTGGTAGGTTCATCCACATACTGAATGGAGAAAATTTTCTTCTATACACTTAACAAATTTCTCTCCATCCAAGCCCTTAACACTGTGGCAGTCCCAGTCTATGTTTGGAAAGTTAAAATCCCCTCCAATTACAACTCTATCATTCTTAAAGATATCGGAGATCTCCTCAAAAGTATGCTTCTCAATTTCCCACTGACTATTGGGAGGCAATCCCAATATAGTACAATCCCAATAAGGTGATCATCCCTTTCTCATTTCTCAGTTCCACCCAAATAACTTCAGTGGATGTACTCCCTAGAATATCCTCCCTAAGTACAGCTGTAATGTTATCCCTAACCAACATCGCCACTGCCCCTCCTCTCTTGCCCCGTTTCTATCCTTACTATAGCATCTGTATCCTGGAATATTAAGCTGCCAGTCCTGCCCTTCCCTGAGCCATGTTTCTGTAATAGCTGTGACATCCCAGTCCCATGTTCCCAACCATGCCCTGAGTTCATTTGCCTTACCCATCAGCCTCTTGCATTGAAATAAATGCAGTTTAATTTATCAATCTTACCTCATTCTCGGTTTTGCTCTTGCCTGCCTTGACTATTTGACTTGCTCCTCTTCTCAACTGCACCAGCTTCAGACCGATCTCTTTTCTCACTATCTCTTTGGGTCTCAGTCCCACCCACCCCCCGCCAAAAACCCATTACTAGTTTAAAGCCTCCCAATTAGCACTAGTAACTCTTCCCGCAATGGTATTGATCCCCTTCCAATTCAGGTACAAACTGTCCTTCTTATACCCCAGAAGAAATTCCAAATGATCCAAAAGTGTGAATCCCTGCCCCCTGCACCAGCTCCTGAGCCACGCATTCATCTGCTCTATCCTCCTATTCCTACTCTCACTAGCACGTGGCAACCAGGAGTAATCCAGATATTACTACCCTTGAGGACCTACTTTTTAACCTCCTGCCTAGGGTCCGATATTCTCCCTAACAACCTCAACCCTTTCTCTTCCTATGTTGTTGGTACCAACGTGTACAACAACATCCTGCTGGTCACTCTTCCCCCCTTGAGAACATTCCCCACCCTCTCCAAGACATATTTGACCCTGGCACCAGGGAGGCATACACCACCCTGATGTCTTTCTGTCGGCCACAGAAACGTCTATCTTTGCCCCTGGCTAGAGAGTTCCCTATCACAATCGAACACTTAGAACCTGACGTACCCCTCATTACAGTACTGCCAGTCTAAAACTAACTTTATTTCTTCAAAAAACTGACAGTCATCTGCATGTCAATGTGGCTTGTCAACTGTTAAGGACAAGTCTTAAATCATACGTATACTGACAAATCCTCTCAGCGCTAATCAGGGCAAGTTAACGGATGGTCTGTTTTATAAGGATAAGGAGATTATACCAGGTGAAAAACTGCATGTTATTTCTCTTGATATACCATTACCGGGCTCATGTGGCACATGACTACCACTGCCTTTGAACCAGGAGACCCAGGTTCAAGTCCCATCTGCTCCAATGGTATATAATAACATAACTGAACAGGGTGATAAGAAACTGTCTGAAATGCCATTGCTCTCCAAAGATCTCATCTAACTTGCTGAGGATTTCCAGCTTTTGCAGTATTCTGCTTTTGTAGCAATATTCTTCTGCTAAAGTCTCGGTGTTCCTTTTGAGATCACAAAACCTATTTTTGCTGTTAATTAAACACTGGCAAGGGGCACAGGGAGATTAACCAAGAAGCTATGGGTATTCTGAGCATTGAGTTTTGCTTCAGTATTTTCATTGAATCATTGCATCCCTACAGTTCAAATAGAGGCCATTCGGTCCATTGTGTCTGCACTGATAATCTGAACAGCATCTCACCCAGATCCAGACCCAGGCCCAACCCCCACCCCCGCCTCTCCATAATCCTGCATTTCCTATGGCTAATCCACCTACCCTACACACCCCTGGACACTACGGGGCAATTTAGCACAGCCAATCCACCTAACCCACACATCTTTGGATTGTGGGAGGAAACCAGAGCACCCAGGGGAAACCCACGCACACATAGGGAAAATGTGCAAACTCCACACAGACAGTTGCCCAAGGCTGGAATCAAACCTGGGTCCCTGGTGCTGTGAGTTAATTTACACATTTAAGCATAACACAGACATTTGAAAATGAAACCTGAATTGCAAATTCATATACAAGAACAATGTTCTTCAGTTCTTACAAAATACAGCACAGAGGGTGCTATGACACCCTTCTTTATCTCTTAATGAGTGGCTACCTGGGTCTGACACATGAGCCCCAACATTTGCGTGGCAGAGAATTGGGTTTAACACATCTCGCTTTCCAAACAGCCAGAAGCAGACATTTTCCAGGTATAAGCAGCCTTGTCTCAATTACTAAAATATTGAAAAACACCAAAAATTCCTCCTAGTCTGCACGGCTTAGTGCATTTCCCAACGAAAAAATTTTGGGAGCAGATCAAGTCATTAGTTATGAAGGAGTTAACTCTGGTTTTGTCCCTAACTGTCTGTTAACAATGTCAAGTAATTTTCCTCTATTTTTAATTCCATATAAACTGTACCTGACTCTTTATCCTCCAACTCCACGACTTCTTCATAATCTTTGCTGCAGAAGAGGTCTAGGTCAGCATCCTCGAGGTCTACTATGTCTGGCTGAGAGTTACAGTGTTCATACTGGTGATCATAAGGGTAAGTGAAGGAGTGAACTTCTTCAGACACAGTCCTGGTGAGCTCATGGTTTGGGGAGAAAGATGATGGCTCTTGCACCATATCAAAATGAATCTTCTGAGTAGAACATAAGCTGTAAGGATCAAAATGCAAACCAGTAGAATTGTGAGTCCTGTCATCACACAGCTTTAGGCTTTTAGGCATTGCAGAAGGCTCAGTTGGGACTTCTTTAATAGCAGTTTCGAAAGGACCATTTGACTGATGTTGACCTTGAGAAGGCAGCTGGGTCAGCATCACCTTTTCTTTGAGTTTGTCCACACTTGTAGACTGGTACTGTCCGCAGTCCCAGAAAAAGTCATACCCGCTCATTGAGTTAGGGTGGGAGTCTCTCATCACAAGGGATGAAGCTGCTGGAGCAAAGGCCTCTGATGTACTCGCTCCTGAGTCAACGCTTACACCATTAACGTTCAGTTCACCGTTCATAGCTAGAGCACAGAGAAAGAAAGAGGATTTTGAATTCAGAATTACATGTGACATCTCTAACCTGTCAATGGACAGTACCAATGTGTCACAACTGTATAACATACACTAGAATGTGCACTTGTTTTAATCTCGATAATCAGAATTTACTTTCTTGTTTAATTCCTGACCTGTTCAAATATAGGAACTATTTTAACTCAATAATAAAAAAAAAATCACTTTTGCTCATGAAGTCAGGGGACAGAACCTGGAACAAATTAGCACTTGATCAGAATTCTCCTTCATCTTTCTATGATTTCTAGTGATTTGGGTGTAGGCAGCAGTTATCAACATTTACAGATTGCTATTCACAGATAACGACAAAAATCTGCAATTGTATAGCAGATTTAAAAGAAATGTGTATTGAGCTATTTCGCAATGGCATAATTAGAGCAAACTGGATGACAAGCCACTGAGGAGATATTAGGAGGGATGGGTTTTAAGGAGACAGAGACAGGGAGGTGGAGAGTCTGAGGCATTTAGGGAGACAATTTCAGTGTATGGTATTGGAAAGCACAGCCATTAATGGTGAGGCAAGAGGAAACAGGTTGCACAAGTACACACAGTTGGTGGAACGGAAAATCCTGTGGTGTGAGAGACACTGTATTACTGGAGGAGGTTACAGAGATAGGGACAGGAAGGCCATGAAGGAATTTGAACACAAGGATGAAACTTTTGAACCCCCCCCCATATTATGGTGCTGACCTCAGAAGCGGGTGGGAGGGGATGGGCTGGGCACACGCTCTATTTTATGTGCCCCTTTCTTCCACTGAAAACACGCCCAGCACAGGCGTGGAAAATCCAACCCCTAGAGTTCCGAAGAGGATGGGAAGGGATTTGAGAGGTGAAAAAAGATGATGCAGTATGTTGCAAGAACATTGAATGGTCAGCAGTTTAATGAGAAAGGGGTCAAGGAGCAGAAATACAATTGCTGCAGTCCAACAGCAGGACACATGTATCATTACAATGATCAATACCACACTCATCAGGCAGGATTTTAACAAATCTGTTATTCTCACATCGTGATCACAGCAGTGACTCACTTTTCCAACTTAAACCATTGAGGATTTATCTGCTCCCAGTGACTGTTCTTAAAGGGAGACCATCTGATAAACTAATCTCATTTCCTTGCAAATGCACAGCATTGGTGATGTAAACCATGTAGCAATACATTATCTTGCCTATTGCATGAACCAGGGTGAAAATTAATTTTGTCACTCAACATTCCCCAAAAAAAACTGTTGCAAACCAATTCTCATGAGAAAGGCATCTTTAACAGTGGAACCTCTCCTGCTGCCCTGCTCTCTGTGCCCATGAACAGTAACAATGGAACGCTCAGATTTGCAAAGGCAGCTGAAAATTTCATTTTATTGCAGAAACCTGCAGTAAATGCTGTGACTGTGGATGACATTCCTCCTGAGACTACACAGCAGGCCAGGCAGCATCAGAGGAGCAGGAAAGCTGACGTTTCAGGTGAGGACCCTTCTTCAGAAATGGGGGCGGGGAAGGGAGCTCTGAAATAAATTGAGAGAGGATGGGTGGGGCTGGGGAAGGTAGGTGGGATGGTGATAGCTGGATGCAGGTAGGCAGTGATGGGGATTGGTCAGTGAGGTTGAAGGAGCAGGTAGGTGGGAGAGAGGATGGACAGATTGTGTCAGGTCAAGGAGGCGGGATGAGGGGGAGGGTTGGTCATGGGATGAGGCCGGGCATGGGGAGATTTGAAACTAGTGAAGTCCACATTGAGACCATTAGATTGTAGGCTCCCAAGGCGGAATATGAGGTGCTGCTCCTCCAGTTTCTGGTTGGCTTCATTGTGACACTGGAGGAGGCCCAGGATGGACATGTCACCCAGGGAGTGGGAGGGGGAGTTGAAATGGTTTGCGACTGGGAGGTGTTGTCATTTGTCGCGAACAGAGTGCAGGTGTTCTACAAAGCAGTCTCCGAGCCTCCACTTGGTTTCCCTGATGTAGAGGAGGTCACATCGGGAACAGCGGATACAATAGACCACATTGACGGATGTGCAGGTGAACATCTGTCTGATGTGAAAGGTTTTTTAGGTTCCTTGGATGGAGGTGAGGGGGGAGGTGTAGGGCAGGTGTAGCACTTCCTGCAGTTGCAGGGGAAGGTGCAGGGGGTGGTGGGGCTAGTGGGGAGTGTGGAGTGGGCGAGGGAGTTGCGGAGAGAGCGGTCCCTACAGAAGGTGGATTGGGGTGGGGAGGGAAATATATCCTTTGTAGTGGGGTCAGATTGCAGGTGGTGGAAATGGCGGAAAATGATACCTTGAATCCGGAGGTTAGTGGGGTAATACGTGAGGACAAGGGGAATTCTGTCTTTGTTTTTGTTGCGGGGAGGGGATGTGAGGGCAGAGGTGTGGGAAACATAAGAGATGCGTCGAGAGCATTTTCGACCACTGAAGGGGGAAAGTTGCGATCCTTGAAATAAGAGGACATCTGGGATGTTCGGGAGTGGACCGCCCCATCTTGGGAGCAGATGTGGCGGAGGTGGAGGAACTGGGAGTAGGGGATCACATTCTTGCAGGAAGGTGGATGAGAGGAGGTATATTCTAGGTAGCTGTGGGAGTCGGTCGGCTTGAAATAGATATCGGTTTCGAGGTGGTCACCAGAGATGGAGACAGAGAGGTCCAGGAAGGAGAGAGGGGTATCAGAGATGGTCCAGCTGAACTGGAGGTTGAGGTTGAGGCTGAGGCAACAAAAACAAAGCCAGAATGTGCTACACCTGCCCCTACACTTCCCCCTCACCTCCATCCAAGGAACCAAAAAAACCTTCCA